ACTATAACCGACCGTCCTCTTCCTGACGCACCGTCTACTAAGACTGAAGGTCCTGTAAATGATGCACCGTCGACAATGACCAAAGATCTTTTTAATGGCACATCGACTATTATGACCTACTGAGCTTTTAATGACTCTCCAGCAACAGCAATAACGACTGACCCGTTTCTACTTGAAATCGCATCTGTTATCGCAAAGTACGCAGTAGTTGAATCTTCCACATAGTCCGTTATCATTGTAGAAATAGAGACTAAAAGGTCTACTACATCTTTGCCTGATTCCTATATACTGGAAGAAGGATCAGCTCATTCACCAGGAGAAAATCATCCAGCGCCTGCAGCGAGCCTTACGCCATTTCAGATTAGATCTATTCCAACTATGGCTGCTCCTAAAACAGGCCGCAAACACCAGAGGCAGGAATCAGAAATGTTGACGTCTACTTCCGTCAAAGCTGAACAAGCATTAAAGTTTAAGAAGCCAAATATTAAGAAGACTAAGATTTCTGAGTTAGAAGGCTCCAGAAAAACGAAAACTAAAAGATCCTCAGTCTAGCAAAAAAACAAAAACCCGAAACCAGATTTTTACTGTTTAGTGTGCGCTGACAAATACACTGAACCACCAGCGGAAGATTGGATTCAGTGTTATGAGCGCAAAAGTTGGGCACATGAAGATTGTAGTTCTTATGTAGAAATAGGCAGCTACTTCTGTGATGAATGCGAAGACTGATCTGAACTAATTCAAGATATCCTTTTTGCCCTTGGGGCATATCCGTTTTGCCCGACCCCTCCGGGCAAAACGGATAATTTACACTTTTTGTAAAAACTCATAATTATAATAGAAATCGTCAAAGTTTTTTAATTTAAATGATTATTTTCCAAAGATGATTAAACATAGTACAAAATAAAAGTACAAAGAATTCTATTGATTATTAAAATTGTGGATTTATTTACACTATGCCTTAACATATGCGTCTTGCCCGGGCTTCCCCTATATATATATATATATATATATATATATAGTAATGGTTTGTTTTAAGTCTAATTTTTCTTAATAATTTTCCAGAATAAACATAAGCATATTGTATAATACGTAGTAAGTTGAACTAACTTTCGATAAGAGTCCTTGGTGTACCAAGAAATGAAAAGCAATTTTGTTACAATTAATTATTCATGTCATGTCAGAAAACAGGATAGGAACATTTGCGATTTAATTTGGAATTAATTCTAAATTATAAGGGAGGTTTCAACGTGCCGTCAGTTTGAGCCCTACCATATTTACATATATATTGTACCATAATTTACGTCATTTAGTTTTAGCGCTTGAAATATTAAAGGTTCTTTGTTCTTTTTACCACACTGCTCTGAAAGGAGGGGTTTGTTTTTACTTTTTAGAGAGTAAATGTTCAGTCGCAATAAATAAAACGTTATTGTAAAATTATTGGTATAAAACTCAATCGGTACCAAAGTCATAGTCCACCATTTGCGGACTTCGCGTGTCTTTCGAACACTCGCTAGGTTCTCTCAGATATGCAGGTTTTCTTACGATGTTTTCCTTCATCGTGAGACAAGTTGTAATCATGTTGGAAAATGATTAGCACATGATAATATCAGAGGTGTGAGACCCGGTGATTTGAACCGTCTTCACTTGGTTTCTCAAGCTAGCGCGTTACCACTAACTAGGCTACCATTGCCTTAAACACTAAATGATTAGTATTATTTTTGCTTTACTTAAAGACTAATATTTAAAAAAAAATCGGCTAAATTAAATAAGTCAGTAACAGTGTCTAAAATGAAAACCTTGTCATTTAAGAAGGACGCTTACAGGCTACAACATCATCAGCCAGGCAAAGCTAATATAGGCTACTAGTTTGTTGTATTTGATGATGATGATTAAATAATGACTCTTAAAAGCAACAATAAGACATACTATATTAAGGTCATACTAAATTGGCGCATTTACTATATCTCAGACAAGTCTCGAGCATATTCTAGTTATTGTATAAGTTATCTAATTCGACTTCTTCAATAGCTTACGTTTGTTACCCACTAATGTTTGCTTTATCGACGGTTGCTATGCGAGATCTAATAACGGCTTCGGCTTCTCCTGGACAATCTCGCTAGATCATAGACCTTATCTATGCCTTCAAGCTAAGATGAAGGTCAAGAGTAAGGCCATTTTTAATAAAAAAAAACGATTTCTTTTGATTTTAACTACTTACCAATTTTTAAATATTTACAATATACTAACTCTCCTTCATTGCGATACATTTTGAAGGGAAAGAAAATGTAATGTCTGACGTACTTATAATTATATGATAATTGTTAGAGTGGAATATGAGTGATGTTATTTTTAGCTAAGATTAGCTATTTTTTCGGTATTATAATTTATAACTTTAAGATTGTATAATCTTTTTTGAGCGTTGTTTGTGGTAAAGTTAATTAAATCTGCTCTAAATATTTCTATGCGGTTGTTATATTTTTATAACAATTAATCATATTAAGCAAAACATGCTCGTTGTACAGTATTTAAATTTATATTTTTTTGTCTACGTAGTTTTGTTACGTAAATTAGATTATGTGGTTTTACAGTCTTAATACATTAGCGTGAATTTTATTACCGAATTCTTCTACGATGCTATTAATTGTTTCCATGTGCCCACGAAATATTTTACGATCAGGATACGGCGACCCAATTTAGCATTCGATGTGTAACTAACATATTATGTATATTATGTACCCTCACTGGGCTCACTTTTATGGGAGCAACACGCCGTTAACTTCTAAATGTGATCGACCTAACATCGATTCAATGCCTATTGTGTCATCGATACGTCTTCTGACAATGATTAATTTAAGTTTTGTATGATATAAGCGGTTTATTTTTTTGTACTCACCTAAGTATTTAGGCTATGTTTTAGTACTTAGACACATTCTTAGATATGTTACTCTTTGATAGATTAAAATTATTGTTATGATATTTACATGCTTTTTGTATTTCTGTGTCAATAAAACGTTCTGGATGCGGGTCACGCAGAGGAAATCGTGGGCGCATACTGCTACTTTGCAATTTTCATATTCGGCTCATATGGTTGTAATGTAACAATCCTGTTCTACATTATATAAGTTTTACTCGCATATTATTTGGTGATAAGACCCTTAAAATATGCTTAGCTATATTAACACCTCCAGGTAAATTTCTAAGAAATCAATTAAAATTCTAAGAAATCTATTGTTAACTGACACGCCGGCGTGTCCGCAGTCGTGGAGGGATTAAGTAAAATATCACTTTTTAGGGTTCAGTAGCCAAATGGCAATTTTAAATAATTAAAAGACCTTCTGTAAACACACCCTATATTATATAAATTGCATCTTAAAATTAAAAAAAAACTCGGGCTGGGAATTTCATCTATTATTCAATAAATAAGTAGTTCTATTTTATTGGTAAATACTTACAACTTTTATGTATGATCGTAGGGGACCTCGATCCGCCAATGAACTTAGCACTTGACCTTATGTTAAGCCAATATTATTAAGTATATTATTTGGTGTTTGTTTTCTCTTTTCACAAGTTGCGAAATTTCACAAGCACGTGTGATGTTTTGGGTGTAACAAAATAAATATAGTGTCGGGTTTGTATCGAGGCGACGTAAGAATTCACTGAGGGCTCTTGTCCCCTATATTTAGCTCGACAGAATCTAGGCCGACGGAAGGTTTCTTGTGGGATGCCGACGATGCGAGATTTCCTTATAGATTATGACTTTAAGCCCTATTGTACGTTTCGTTTGTGCCGTACGTATGATATTAAGCTTTATACTTCCATTGGTTCTTTGTGTTGCCTCATTGGTAAATCTCTATCTTATGCGTAATACTGAACTAACCGAATTCTGCAATTTTGCCTACTAAATAAATATAAATAAATACATAGGCCGTGACATGTGATGTGATTTACACATTGAAGTTCTCGATCTTCAACATTTGAAATAATTACTTGGTTTATTTTTTTATATCGTTCAATATTTTAACATTAGTAAGTTAATGATTGAAGTGAAATTTTAACAGTGGTGAATATAACTAAATTTGCGTAGCGTTATTATGCTGTTAGTAATTTAATCAGGCAGGTCGACAGAGCGGAACAAAGGGCAAGGGTGAAGAGAGTTGACCAAATGTCAGTAAAATCGTACGTTATGAGTAATATTTGGAAATAAAAATGGATAAAAAGTAGAAATATTGAACGTTTTAAAATTAAAATAGGTATTAAGTTGCGTGAACTTTAAGAGAAAGAGAAAGTGCAACTAGAAGCCATTCTCGAAAGTACCAGCCATTGATGGTAACGTGGCCTAAAATAGGACTGAAAGTAAATATAGGTATATAAGGAAACAAGTTGCCTAAATTTACAATTATGAGTAGTTTCTACATGATCACCTATACTTTAACCTCTTTCTAAAATTATGCCAGTGTATAAATTGATTGCCCCGTAAAAGAAAGTGTTTCGTAGAAACCTGGGAAAGGTCCGCTTAAGCACACATTTATTAAAACTTAATTAACGAAATTACTATTAATTATCTTTTAACGGTATCTCTGCTGGCATATTGGCAATTGGTAACTGATTGCTTATTTAAAAGTACATACTTACCTAATAATATGGGCAATGTACACACAAAGCCTCAGACGGATGCTAGTTCATATAACTAATAAATTATAGTAATTAATATATTATTAATAATTAATATATTATTAATAATAAAAAATGTAGTAATTAATATATTATTAATAATTAAATATTTTTGATAAAAGTACTTATAATTTAATAATGAACCAAATAAATACACGCTCGTAGTTATACCATTTAAAAATACGTACGTCACTCTCATATATCAATAAACTTGACAGCCTCGTGTGCCAAGTATAATATTATTATAGGATGATGCTTTAAATTATACGTTAGTAGTAATTATTTTATCCGATATATTTCAGTTGTGCGGTTGAGGCGAGGTCAGCAAGATGGGGAAGCTGCTGTCGAAGATCTTCGGCAATAAGGAGATGAGGATACTGATGCTGGGACTCGATGCTGCAGGAAAGACTAGTATCCTTTTAAATTTGATCATTCTAAAAGTTTTACTGAGTTCTGTTTATAAAACATAAAACGATCTCACTAGATAAGAATCTGCAAAAGCTCGTTTACCTACTTTAAAAAAAATAAGAATTTAATAATTAGAAAGTAATGAATACTTTAAATATTTTAGTTCATTAACCGACTTCCAAATAGGAGGAGTTTCTCAATTTGTCGGAATCTTTTTTTTCTATATATTTTTAGAACTGGTACCCTATTCCTAGTCTTTGACTTTGAATATTTTCTTATAAAAATATTTCCTTATAGAAATCATCCAGCTATTTTATATAAATTAAAATTAGGTCAGTCAGTCACAACGATACCTACGGTCGGTTTCAACGTGGAAACCGTGACGTATAAAAATGTCAAATTCAATGTCTGGGACGTCGGTGGGCAGGATAAAATACGACCACTGTGGAGGCATTATTATACAGGTGAATAGTATTTTTTTTATTGTTTGTACAGTTGCTAGTTTTTGCCCGCAGCTCTTATCCGGAATATAAGCTATATTTTCCATTTAAATCCCTTGAATCGTTATAGCATGAACAAGTGACAAATATTCTTATAATGCTATAGTGATCAATACAAGATTGCTGCTTTAGTGCGGTATTTTGGACCCGAAGAGTCGCGGTTCGATTCCTGCGTAGTACGAGTATTAAGTATATGGTTAGATCATATAGACAATTTGTTTCACATTGAGTCTCAAAGAGTTTTCACTGTCTATCTCCAAGGAAAAGAGTTTGAATATAAAATAATTGCTTTTAACTTCAAAAATACACCTATTTCAATTTAACTTGAATTCCAATCGCAGGTGTGATTTTTTTCTCTTCAAGTTTATGAGAATTTTTTTATTGAGAATTTAACTATTTGTTAAAAAAAAAACAGTTGTATACATTGGTGAAGATATCATGCACCTAGCATACTTACGAAAGAAAATATTTACCAGTCTTAAGTACCTATATCTTTTTTTGAAGCTGGTCATAATAATACTCGTATATGCATGTAATATTTTAGAGTAGCCGTCGGATCATTTTTGCAGTATTTGCAGCCTTTATAAGTTTTTATAATAAATATTAAATTATTACGCCTTACATTTGATATTTAAAAATATGGTGAAATAGTGTTTAGAAGCCACAGTACAATATGGTATCTCGTATAAGTCATTTCATATGAATTCATACTCAGAATTAGAAATTTGGCCAAATTTTTAATTTGGTATGGTCGATCTAAGAATAAAAGTTAGCGTAGTATTAATATTAAAAAAAATATATATGAATTGTATATATTTCTACACCTAAATGAATTGAAGAGGTTTGTTGCAAAAACAGGCTAGGTAGTTTCTTCTTGTTTCTAAGTCTTATTTTAACGAATTCATAGTAAATAAGTATTATTAAATAAAATAATAATATTTCCTTGTACACAACGTGCCATATAGTTATCGGTTGTTATTGTCCAATTTAGTACACCGTCCACTTGTTTAGCTCATCGGCAATAAAAGCTAAGCATTAATGATAATAATATTTACAATAAGCCGTTTACTCCACGATCTATACTAATATATAAAGAGTGTTTGTTTTTTGAAGTGAAAAACTTCTGTAGGCAGGTTTGGATGAGGAGTAAATTCATATAAGTCGTCATCGACATGGTCACGTGACGTGTTAACGCTAACACTCACAGTGCCGATACATATCAAGACGAGATAAATGTAAACAGTTTTATATACTAATTTTAATTTAAGATCAAACAATTAATTTGAATATCCAAAAATAACAACTGTTTCTTTGTAGTTTTAAGTTTTCACTTCTGTCGGCAGTCCTTATGACTGCTTTTTTTTTGTTTGTTTGAAGTTTGAACTTCTGGTACCTACTACCAGTCAGAATTTCTGTTACCTACTATCAGTTATATTTAAGTAGTTGTTTTTGCATTATATAGCTTATTGAGGGAGGTTTTTAAAAAGACTATCCAACATCTATCTATCTTTATGTGCGGAGCAATCTTACATAAAGATACTACGCAAGTAGGACCCTCAGGGAAAACTAGTATTATTTTCTATATTATTGTCGTCCTAGTTAGGTTTCTCTTTATCAAAGTGCTCATAAAATCTATATTGTACACTAGAGATAACAGGTTCGAGTTCTGTCATATACAAATAAATGATTTGGATACAAAATATTGTAAATTCTTTTTAAAGAAAAGATTCTTTAATCGACAGTAGCTTGTCATATCCGAGGACAGAATCTTCAGAATCTCATAGTTCTCATGGCAATGTTCACTTCCAAATATCTCTGAAACGTGACATATTAGAGTTTTATATTTTTTATACTTTTTGTTTGCGTGTATTTTCTCTCCATACACACCAGTCTTATTGTGCGCCGCAACATAAAAAAAAATATCGTCGAATATTTAAGTCAGCCTCTATAGAAAATTATTGGTATTCCTATATAATTAATAAAATAATAAAACTTGATCATTAATTTCCAGGCACTCAAGGTCTAATATTCGTGGTGGACTGCGCGGACCGCGACCGTATTGACGAGGCGCGGCAGGAGTTGCACCGGATCATTAACGACCGGGAGATGCGAGACGCTATCATACTCATATTTGCTAATAAGCAGGACTTGCCTGATGGTATGTATTTTATCTATATAAATAAAAATGAATCACCGAAATGTATGTACGTACACGCATAACTTCCGATCGACTGCACCAAGTTTGTGTTTGTTATTGTCACGACAAGTTTTGTATAGAAGAAAATTAAAAGAAAATCTCTTCATATGAGAAGTGAGTGAGTGAAATAGTTTTTATCCCGGAAATCATCCCTTAAGAGGGTCAGAGTGGGGATGAAAGTTTGTATGGAGAAGCAAGCAAGCAAGTATTATATGATTTCTGTCTGTCTGAGTATAAACATTTTTTTTTAGTTTTCTGTTCTAGCAGATTTTTTTCGTTTTGTAGCAGATCTTTTTGGCATTCTTGAGCAGCGCCTTCAATTTATAAATTTAGTAAAGATAAGTACACATTCATTAAAGCGGCATAAAGGTTGGACCATTATTTTACGGAAACCTATTACTTACTAAGATAAAAAATATTGTATGTATTAATCCAGGATATGGTCTATTTCGTTGGTCAATAATACATCTAAATCCGCTGCAACGGCTTAGACGTGATTGTATCCAAAAAGTTTCATATTTATAATACTAATAGGACAGTAGACAAATCCATACAATTGTCTAAAAAAGTATTTAGAGAAGAATATATGGTGGGGCGTATGGTGAGAGACGCAAATGAAGCGCACCCGATTGTCATACTTTCTTTTATATGATAGTCGGGAAACAGCTTTTTTAGGATTCATGAATATAAGTGTAATTTGATATAACATGGCGCTACAGCGCATTATCTTAAAAATGAGAATTCATCATAAAAAATAGTATTTTTTGACAACCCTTACCTTTGACAACATTTCCGTTAAAATGAAAAGGGATAACCTATTGTATAGAATTGTACTGTAATAATAGGGCATGTGATACCAATATTTTTACTATAACAAAACTAAGAGATTTCTCTTCACTCGCTCCACCCAGCAATGAAACCCCACGAGATACAAGAGAAGCTCGGCCTCACACGCATCCGCGACCGCAACTGGTACGTGCAGCCGTCGTGCGCGACGTCCGGCGACGGCCTGTACGAGGGGCTCACGTGGCTCACCACCAACCACAAGTTATGAGCAGCGGAGTAGGCGGCCGGTGACCGCCTTCCGTATACGCACGGTGAGTAGACCACTCTTGGACATAGCCTTATCTACACTTGTATAATCTCTAATGCCCGATTTCACCAACATCTCATAAGCTACCACCTACGTATGGGATCCCTAGCTTAAAAGTCCCCTAAACTAGCCCCTAAATTAAATTTCGTTTTACGATCGTCTTTAAGCGCATATTTCGAGCATTTAAATTTAGGCGGCCTTTTAATATTTAGGTGATCCCGAACTGTCGGTGAAACAGAAGCTGTCCCCTAACAGCCCCCTAACCATAATTAGGAGATCCCTTAAACTTAGGTGACGTTGATGAAATCGGGTATAAGTCTCCAATCGCGAGATAAAGTCTGTATGTAGAGGGTAAACCAAACTACTGATACGATTCGAATTTTTTTTTGAAGTAAAACTTCTTTACGCACGCTTGATTTGGGTGGGGGGGAGGGGGGGGGGTCTGGTGAATGCGTTACGTAAAATGTAAGTACGTTTGTTGCCATGGTAACCGTTATTATTGTCTGACAAATGATATGTGATATTATATTCTTTCCTTAAATGATATTCTATAAATATATGATTGTACCTAATATGCGTTATTTTTAGTATCTCACATATCCTAATTATTTAAAACATAAATTGAATTTCATAAATAGTACCGGTAACCTACGGTAACAGAAGTTTACTTCTTGCGCGTGTACACGTTTATACACGCACTCTTTAATATTTATTTTTTTGCATATATGACAGCCACAGAAATCTTAATAATAAGGTAATAGAAATGCCATTGCGGTCTTTTAGTACTGGGACGCGTGTCGCCGGCTTGCAGCTACCAACACATTGACAAACAATAAATACACACTATCGCTCACACGTGCATTTTGCATTGTTGCAACAAAAATTAAACTTTAAGCGATGACATTACGCAATATTTTCTAAAAACGCATAATCTCAGAACCCGTGATCCCTGTGACCAATAATAAACGTGTGCGAAAAGCACAGAATGATATCGCGCGCTCACTTCTAGTGCAGCACAAAGCGCATAATGCTCATATCGATAATTTTCCGTTGAGTCTTGCAACAATAGGTAACTAATTTATTTAAAGTGTTTTATGTTTCATTCCTCGACGCGATTTTAGACGATTTATTTATTTTCATAAAGGGAATACAATAAAACGTTAAAAGTAAGTAATTTTTTTTATTATTATATAGTTATACACTCAACAGCTACTATATACTCAACAGTGATATATTGTTTTTAATTCTAGTTTAATTTAATGAAGAGTCTGACTGAATTTTGTTTTTATAATGTTTTTATTGACTTGCATATGTATATGCATAAGTGATATAAAAATTGACTTGTATAACTACATATATGTTATTATATTCTAAATTGGGTGTATACCTTTGCAATAAATATTATTATTATTATACAAAAGTTATGCAAACTATTTGTTAAAATCCTATACATTTTTAACAATGACTTAATTTTTTTTATAGAATTTCTATGTTATGTTTATCAAACAACTCGCCCTTAGAATTATTTACTCAATCAAATCAAATCAAAAAAAAAAATTGGTAAATGCGGAACATGTCAACGATACAAGGATATTCAACGCATACTGTTTTTGACTTACCCATATACATAACAATAATAAGCCTACCTCCTAATAATTTTCTGAATGAAAAAGTAGTTTAAAAGTACGAATTTACAGATAATCGTTGATAAATGACTTTTTATAAATTATTCAGACAGAAAGAAAACATACATAATGAGATGTAACAATTAAATATTTAACGAAAAATATTAAGCCAAACGTAATAAATTTTCGATAAAAAATAGTGGTGGCACGTCACTAATTCGCGGTCAACTTATGCGGCGTGTCCTTGGAATTTACGTACGCGACGATATTGTTCTTTACGCATGACTATTATTTCATTGCTGCTTTTAGCAGTTGTAATAGTAGACATGAACAAGCTTAAGTGGTAATGGTTATTGAATTGAAAAAAAAAAACGTTTTCCTGCGATAATCGTAGTAGTGGTGGTGAAAACATTTGATTTGGCTATATTTCTTAAAAACGACATTATTTCAAAAATTAAGTACTTATATATGAAATGTTATCCCTTTATTTGTAAAGTTACAAATTGTGGAAGAATTTCCGCAGTTGGATATGCTGCAAAACACCATGTTTACCTCTCCGTGTCTCAAATAACACTAGTTACCGCAACAAACGCTTTACACGCGCTTGTGACCTACGAGTCACATGCGCGGCGACAAGGTCACGCGTCTATGCCACTTCTATTAGCTTATTATTAAGATTTCTGTGATGACAGCTATGTTATATATTGTATAGTTTTTGAGTTAATTTATCAGGCAATTAGTAAAAGTTAGTCACCTGGAACGCATCCGAGCGAGGGAGGGTGTCGCTTGTCCTAAATGTTTCCTTTCACATATATCAACCCTCCTTCTTCGCACTCCAAGAACTCTGGTGTCGTCCGTCCGTGCGCTCGTTCTTGGAATTAGATTAAGAACCAATCCCGTAAAGAAGGAGGATCCATAATATCAATTGTACCGAAGAAACTTTTTTTCTAAATAATAAATATCTTTAAAGGGATTTAAGGATAAATAGTTTTATATATTTATTTGCTTGTGAATATTTAATATTACGCATTTGGTTAAATAGATAAAACATATTTTGCCTTTTTGTTTTGTATACATGTACACAACTTAAACTATTAAAGCTAATTTAATAAATATAAAAAAATAACCTTTAAATAAGAACTTCAGTCTTGTAGTTTTTGCATTAGGGCTCTATATGTTATTTTCATTTTCAAAAAAAAAAATTTTTTTCATGAAACAACGCCTATTTTCATTTGTTTACAGGTGACCATTTCGATGCCATTTATAATAAGTAAGCTGCGTCCGTGCCCGTCGGATATAGAAACCATGTGAACCAGTGTCGATCGGACCACACGCGACCACACGACCACGCGCGACAATACGTGACCACGCGCGACAAACCGCGACCGCACGCGACAATACCCGACCATACGCGAGTGAACAAACAGTGCTGAGTGGACTATTCCTAGTTAGTACGTGAACTAAAAATGTCACACAAATGATAAATCAATTATTCCATTATTTAAATGAAAATTAGAGCTTTGTTGTATCGAAATATTTGATTATTTTTTTAATGTTTATTTAAAAGGAATTACATAGAGTAAATGATTTTTTTATTATTATTATAATTTAATGTTTACCTCCAACTTTTTGTATGATAGTAACGTAGTATCGGAGAATACATTATAGTAATCTGTTAAGGAGTGGTTTACGAGTATTTATAAAGCAATAACGAAGCACGCCTGCGTAATATAGAATATTGTACAGTAGCTTATCGATATTGGTATGCATATACAGTGTGAATCGAGACAGACTGACTTATTGGGAGTGTTATTATAAAATTAAATGAAAATATTGAATAATGAAATTAATAATGGCGTAAAAGACAAAAATATTAATATTATATTATTCATAGCATATCCAATATAGCGGGGTTTGGCAATTCTACAGCGGTGTCGCGTCAATCTATAATTTTGTTTTGATTTTTTGTCATTATCTGTCTAGTTTTTTTTCTATAGTTACCTAAATGCATCACTTTCTCTAACATTTTAAACGTTAATTCAAGTTGGAGGCAATTTTTGGTTAGAATCATTTACATATATTAAGACATTCTCAATATTATCACGTCTCAAATGAAACACTCAATTTGTTAAAAGCAACAATTTTTGAGATTTAGCAGTAGTATTTTTTTTTATTATTACATATTTTCTATTATTACTATTAAAATTGACGCCTATTGTTGTCTGACTGTTGAACTCTTTCTATAAATCTGATATATAACATTGTATGAATGGGTTAATAAAGTCCTAAGATTTTGGATACCTTTTTTTCCTTTAGTCCTCACATTTTAGTTTCTTCAATATTATTATAATTAATAATAATTATTTTTTATTGATTACATCAAAAATACTATCAATTATTAAATAAAACAATCTTTTCGGATTATTTCGCGGATTTATTTTGATTTTTGGTTCCCGACGTTTCGAATGCTTTAGAGACTACTCTCTCTCCCGTGACTATGGATGCTGTAAAGCATTCGAAACGTCGGGAACCAAAAATCAAAATAAATCCGCGAAATAATCCGAAAAGATAGTTTTATTTAATAATGTCAAACATTCGCGTAAATCTAAGAAAGTATTAAGACTATCAATTATTAATGTGATTATAAGGATTTACTATTAAATGACTTATAAAAATATCTATAACATTTGAATATAGGTCGGCCGCATATTGTAAGATTTTTTCTGTCAGAAAATTTCTGACGCCCGCCGGGTACCACTCCGCACATCCATCAGAAACTTCACTTCAGTGAGTCTGACCATGAGTAGTTCGCAGCGTCCGCTCGACAACTGATACGAATTTCTGATAAGTGTGCGTGGTCTAGTACAAAATGTATAGGGAGCGCGCCTTTCGACGTTCTGATCAGAAAAATTTTGATTTTCGATCGGCGGCATCCGGGATTCATCAGAAGCAGACGTCAAACTTGTCAGAATTCTGATAGTATGCGGGATCTAGACCAAAATATATGAGCTGTATCGTCTGGCGGACGTCAGAAATTTTGTAACAGAAAAAAATCTTATAATATGCGGCCGGCCATAAATTTTACGCCTTGCAGTGTTAAGATTTTGACGTTATGTGAAATATTTTAAATTTCAAATTTGCTTTCGCTAAATAAATAGGTATTAAAAAAAATATTGAACTGATTTTGGTTTGTTGTTTTAAGAGCTTTGCTTAATGCCTTAGTTTGAGTGGGTTTTTTTATTAGAAGTTTATGGGACCACCAGTATTTGTATGTAATTTTGTATATGTTGTAACGAGGGGTTCACATTATGTCGTCATAATGCTTATTTGTTCAAACGACCAATTGATCAGAATAGTTTTTAATACAGAAATATTGTATTTTAAATATCAATTCTATGATATAAAGCCGAAAAGACTTATTTTATATAAATCTTAGAAAAAAATCTTTTTTTTTAAATAGAGGAAAGAACTTTAAAGTACAATAGTAATGGTCGCTTGAACAAATAAGCACTAAGACGACGGTTAGTTAAAAATTTTGTTTTCCTCTATTTAAGTTTTTACCACGTACTATGTTCCCACGGGAATTATTTTGTGTACCGGAACCGGGATTAAGATTAGTTTGTCATTCTCTGGCCCATGAACTATCTGTAAGGAAATTTACGTTGATCTGTTATTTGCAAGAAATGCTCTTTCCCATACATATTACTGATTAGTTATTATGAGCAAAACCCGGAATTAGTGTAATTTAATACTCGCGTAGTTTATTTCTGTATATATTTTTTTAATAAGGTCGCAACATGTTAGACAGTACAACCTGTTTCAAATAAGGTATAAAAAGCCAATTTTTTTAACTCTGACTGATAGATTCAGACATTAGCGATCAAACAAACATAAAAACAAATCTTCAGTGTTAAAATTTTATTGTAAATTCATTCAGACGTAATATAAAACTATAAATAATAAATAAAATTCTGATTTAACGTGTTACATGACTATAAGGTTTTATGTTATGTTGTTATTTTTTTTTTTAATGAAAAATATTGTCTTGAATAACCCTCTTGTAAACTGTGACAAGTATTAGTTATTTACCCACCTTATTTGTAAACCTTCCATTATTTCGCCTTTCATTACGAATTAAAAACAATTTTATTTAAATATAACAGTAATCAATCAATTTATCCATTAAAAAAACAATTATGTTGCATATACTCCACTTTCTATAACATTTTTATTCACCCTGAAAAATGGGTAATGTTAAGAGCTTCGAGTACAGCTTTTATTAGATTTAGCTTTGAATGCAAAAGTAATATTTCTGACCTAGACTTACAAATTCTGGACGTTTTCTTTAACAAAAAATCGATTTAGTTATTTAATGATATTTACATTAGGACTGAGTTTATGGGTTTTAGCATATTTTCTATTACTAATTTCTAAAATTAATAATGTGAACTATTTATGATAATGTTATATTATGATAATGATTGTTATATTGTTATCGGGAGTTCAATATATTCTTACAAGAGACTTTCAAGTTTTGATTTTTAGCAGCTAACAAAAGCTTGCTAAATAGAACCGAAGTGTAAAAATATGTCGATTTTATTAAGCTAATTTGAGTCGTCCATGTTTTATTAAGCTTTTTTCTTGTAAATAATACACTTATGTATTTTTCATTAAAAACTCATAAGCTTCAAAGTAGGGGGAGTACAAGACGGGATTTTGGGGTTTAATCAAGCACGGCAGATTAACATAAGGGGATACCTTAGTGCAGTGCTTGCACTCAGTTGAGTACCTCCACGATATATATAACGCCTCTGTATAAGGTCGCGCGTCTAGGGCAGCCGATAAAAATATTTAAAAAATCTTTCATGAAGTTTATGAGTGGTTTTTGTTTCGTCGACTTATGGAAATATGCAGATTGTTGAATTGCACACTTTTCAGCATATAATTAGCCCACCACACCGTAAACTGACGGTTTCAACTATTTCTAACTTATCAAAATATTTTTTTTAATATTTTGATCGGCTGCCCTAGAAGCATGGCCTTATACAGAGGACCTATATATAGTGGAGGTACTCAACAGAGTACAAGGTATCCCGCCTTATATTAGTCTCCTGCGCTTGAGTAAATCCCAAAATCCCCTCTCAGGCCCCCCTACTATTAAGCCCTAATGTAAACTGCTTAAATTCTACATACTTTTAACGTTTGCAGGTCATTTGTAAAATTGTCTTTATGATTTTAGAAATTTATCGAAATATTATATATTTCATGTGAAACACCTAAAGATATAACACAACGGCAGCCGTTATTCTTATTTTTGTACATGGATTTATTTTGTTATAATATATACGGTTAAGTTAAAATTTGTTTCTTCCATTACATAATAAATATTTGATGTATATTTAACATTAAATAATGTAATTATTATGCATCCTGAAATTTTATTCATGGAGAAACAAAATAAATTTTGTTTTAGATCTATGCACATTTAATTCGTTTCGCGTTGTCTTTATAGGGACTTAGGGCTCAGATAAGATATTCTACAGTTATACAGAAACCTATTGGGAGAAAACTCGCATTGGAAAGAGTAAATTGGATTTTAATCCCAAATCTCGCAACCTCTGACATTTTCATGCGCAAATCTCATTTTCAACATGAATATCAATCACTTACTAATACGGTGAAGGACTTTTTTTTATTCATTTATACCACTGATATCCCACTGCTGGTTGCAGGTATCACTCGCATTGAAGAATGAAAGGGGTGATCGGCCATATTCGACAGCGCTAGCTAAGTGGATTTGGTGTCTGAGAGAATCAACTAGTTTTCGAAACACCCGTGAAGTCTGCTAAATCATATCGTAGAAAAGTCCGTGCAGCAGTGGGGCGCTTAAAGGGTCAGAACGTCATTTCTATTAGCGATATCGATTGTAGAAAGTCAAGTTATTTAAACGGAAGAGTCCTATACGATTGCGTAGTGATGAAATCGCTTTTTATCGTTGAATCAATCCTATATCCTTTGTATTCTCAAGTCTTTTAAATTTATGATATGTATAATTCAAATATTTTATGATATGTACTATATAATTATAGAATTGAATGTGCACAGATCCGAAATATATATATATATATATATATATATATATATATATATATATATATATATTTATATTCTATATAGGGTTAAACAGCTTTTAAGTGCCCTCTTCTCAGATCTTTTGTTAGGCATAGATTTGTATAAAATTCGAGGCATCGGTGCGTGTAAAATTATTTAATGAAATCTACAAAAATTATAAAAAATATGTATTTTAGTTATTTTTTTAGATGTAAAGTACAGTTGAAGCACTGCTGGAGGGGAGGTAATGTATGATTTGATTTAGTTTTCTTGTCGCTTGGTTGTAAATTATCTTGAAGATACATGGTTGAGATACAGTGCTGTATAATATTATAGAAACGTTGTTCAATATAAATTCACACTTATAATGCGAGTTTTTATTATTTTCTAACGTTAGCAAGGAATATAACCTACTTTAAATTCTGGGAAACGTGGCCGTGTGTTCAATATGGACGGGTTGAATACGCGAAATAAAATTCTTAATTTTTATTCTGATTTTGTATACAATAGAATGATGGGATAGAGTTGCAAAGTCCTTCCAAAAAAACTTACTTGATTTAAGTTTTGTTTTACCTTCTAAACCATAAGTAAAAGAAGTGTGAGACAATCTTTAATGAATGTAAACAAAACCATGTCTATCAAATATTGTGACAGCATTTATTCAATACAAGGTAACAAAGTACTTAAAATTTTCCATCAAAGAAATCGTATAGCATCCAATGTAAATACATTATTATACTTCTAAATTTCTTCCTTGATTTATTTATAAGCCATGTCACCTTTAAACGTATGATTATTTTTATAGGTCTCAGTTTCATCTGTTACATTTTAGTCTCCATTATTTGTAATTAGTTATAAAAATCCTTTAGTCAAAATAGTCTTATATTATTATATATATATATATATATATATATATATATATATATATATATATATATATATATATAAAAAAGTTTTACTTTTCATTGAAATTTCAGACACAATTTCTAGAAATATGCACTAATTCATTTAATTATAAATCAAATCTTTCCAAGTAGCATAAGTTATGCGACAATTTTTTTAGCAGACGAGTTACGTGAAGAGTGACTTTATGGGTTAGTTGTAGATGATTCTGCGGTAATATCGTCGCATCGCGGCGGGAGAATGATCTGTACTTCTTCGTGAAGCTGGACTTCTTCATCAGGCAGAATATCCGTGATATGGGTTTCGAAGGTTTCGTTTGCAGACGCATTACTGTAAATGATATAAGTTTAAACCATTATTTTAATATGTTATCGACCCCGCGTTAACTGTCTAGTATCTTTTCTTAAGTGCCTATAATAAAGTCCGGGCAAATTTATATATATATATATATATATATATATATATATATATATATATATATATATATATATATATATATAGGTATATAAAAATGAACCCCAATTTCTCTCGGTCACGCTATATAACTTGAGAATAACTTCACCGATTTCCTTCATATTTTTTAATGTTTTCTAATATTTCGTAGAAGGTTCTTACATTAAAAAAAAGGTAATTTTTATCAAAAATATAGTCGACAAAAGTTATTGATCATAAAATTATCTACAAAAACGGTCGTAATACTTTTTTCCGTAACAAACACTATTCCTGAGATATCACAATTCTAAAAGTTGAATGTAAATCATACCTACATGGTTTTTGTTATGCTGTTTGTTTGAATTAATGTGTTAAAAATGTCATGAAAATTTAAATACATAAATTAAAAAAAAATTAGGTGGTAGATAATACTAGATAACGGAACCAGTTTATTAAAACTTGTAAACAATATTAGGGAGTCAAGGAAGTGTGACCATTCTGGAAACTAGCCAGTAACGACCTAGAAAGAACGTTATGCGATATTCATATTATAGATTGATAGCTTTAAGTATATATTTAATTATATAGATAACTTTATTAAAAAACATATTTAATTTTAAGAATTAATCTGAAATTTCATATTTCCTTCACACAATCTACGGTATTGTCAGAAAAAAAGGGGCTGAGTAAATTATCACCTCATGCTATCTTATATATTTCACAATTTTACTATTATTAATATTGATAATTTTTAAGAACGTATATATTTATATAAACACCAATCTCACTCCAATTGATCTCCAGTCTTCACTCCGGCCAAAACTGAAGTGTAGAGTCTCGCTCGGGCTCCATGTAATCTCATACCGGCTGGCACATCCTCTGCGCCAGACCTAGTTTCTGGGATAGGATGTAATAGGACTCCGTTACCTAAGCAATAGTAAGTATATCTATAAATATCTATAAGTAATTAAAATTGGTCAAGTGCGAACTAGCTTTAAGTTTTTTATACATTATACATTGAATTTAAAAAGAATTCTAACGTTACTTTTCGTTATGGTTTTTTTTTCTGAAGAAGTAGGTAATAGTAAATTGTTTTATATTTTGTATTTTTATGGAATTACACAAAAACATACGCAAATACCCAATTTTCATACACTTTCTTTAATATTCTTTTAACTATTATAACTAAGTAACCTTAGGTACCTATATGTATGTAAGGATTACGTTGTTAGTAATCTAATATATTTTACCGTCATCCAAATTTATTGGAACTTTATCGTGAGCGAGTTTCAATTCCTGGCCTTCTTTTGAATTTCCTGAAACGATAAACACCGCTCCTTTTAACTTAAGACTATGACGAACTAAATACGCCTCTGAGTTGTTTCTAATTTGAAATTTATTCTAAGATGTTCTTCAAACACTAAAATTCTGTCAGGATTATATGCATTACTGGAACCCTGTCTTCATATAAATAGGTAAAGAGTATTTTCAAATAAATCTTTGCTTTTTGTAAGAGCTCGGAATCTACTGAATTAAAAGGAAATTATTTTTCTTAGATATTCCTACATGAAGTTTGAAGAAAATCTGTTCAGTATTTTAAAGGTTTCTATTTAAGAATACAATAGGTAATATACCTATAAAAGCTTACCTCAATAAGATTTTATATCGTTTTATTGTCGAACAATTTGACTCCTTAGATATTATATTTTGCTTACCATTCTTTTTTGGTTTTGCGGAGGTGGCAGAATAACCGCGAAACAACGCCTCGAGCTCATCAGGCGTCAAGCGCCGCAAATATGGCACTCTCTTCAAGTCTGGACGATGGAGAGATCGGAACGAATTTCGGTGCTAACAAAATTTATAAATTCATTTAGTTATTTCTCTCAATTTTTTTTGGTATTTTATTCAATATTGTATCATTGTGTAAAGACTGGAAGTACGCAAGAGAGCAGTTTGCCGTGACCAGATCCAACCAAAAGCATCGGCATTGACCAAAAGTACAATTTCAATCTACATAACAAGTAGGTGTTGTATTTTTTTAATTTTGTATTGATCTAAGGTAAGTACTAGTTACTAAGTAAGAATAACAGAAAACTATACAATAAAATTACAACTGATGAATTGATTTGATTGATGCTGTCTGTACATGGAAGATATTTGGGAAAAAAACTATTATTGGAGGTCTCGATTTACGCAATGAAACTCAAATTTTTTTAGAATTTTTGTATTTTTGACTGTGCGTTTGTGCACGCTAATCTCAGGAACGGCTTAATCTATTTGGGTGCGGTTTTCACAAATATATTGTGGTAAGTTTCACTTAATATTTAGTATTTGCACAGATCACATAATACTATACTAGTAAGTATTTGTATTATTGCAATCGGTTCATAAATAAAAAAGTTATGTCAATTTAAAGAATCGCCTATAAATAAAACTTATGTACAGTAGATACCTTAATAAGTCCAGGAGGCACTTGCATCCTTTCGCAGGCGCATGACATGCTCAAGCAATGGGTTACGCTGTCATGTTTCACAGATATCGCTGACAGGCCGCTATGTAGCAAATCTTCTTTAATCTAATTATAATTTATATACAAATGAAATATTTCATAAAATCAAGTAAGTATAATCAGACTTTTTAAGATATTGATACCCATATGAGAGATTTTAGACAAATAAATAGAGTGCGTGTATGAATGTGTACACGCGCTAAAAGTAAAACTTCTTTAGGTTATCGGTACTCTTTATGAAATTCAATTTAAGTTTTAAATAATTAGGATAGGTGAGATACTAAAAAAATCGTGTGTGTGTGCGTGTGTGTGTACGCACATAAGAAGTTATACTTCTTTGGCGTAACAGAAGAAAAATAGCTAAATATTTCATCCCGTATGGCACAACTCTCTGTTTGTAAAAGGAATCATAAATTTTAATAAAAATATTTAAATAACGCATATTAGGCACATTACAATGATATATTTATAGAATATCATTTAAGGAAAGAATATAATAATATATATCAGTTGTCAGACAATAACAACGGTTGCCATGGCAACAAACGTTCGCCTCGCCCGTCACAATTTTCGTAACGCCCCCGTCACCAGCTTACTCTCCAAGTCAAGCGTGCGTAAAGAAGTTTTACTTCAAAAGTCTTCTAGCCAATAATGCAACATTTACCTACTGTTTGAAATGTGAAATTGTGGAAAATATAAAAATGGGCAAGGTGGAGAAATAAAATGATTTATTTGCTTAAATCGTAATAACTTTTTAATAATTTATGATATTCATTTAAGAAGCACGATATTAAGGGTGTCATAAATAAAATCGTTTAGTCTTGAAAAGGTTTTTGTTTCCATTCATTTGCCATGAAAGATCAAACGAATGTCGAAATTTTTAAGTAATCGAGTTGATAAGGAGTCCCTTTTCTGATTTTGATTGATGGTTTTACCTAATGGTAGGAGAACGTTTTAGATCAACAGGCAAAATCATTAATTAAAGTTGGACATGTATTTCTGGCCTGTGAGTATATGGATTGCGTTTGGCAGGAAGGGTCCTGTCGTGAGAAATAGCGACCTTTTGTTAAACGAAATATTTAATTTTGAAGGATTTAGTGGGTAATGTAAGTGGGAATGTAATTCTATTAAATTAAACTACTAATGGATAGGTTAATATAACTTTGTTATTCAATTATATAATTAACTAGCATTGCCCGCGGCTTCGCCCGCGTTCAGATGACCAAAAACCAAATTCTTAGGTTTTACATATTAGTATATTCTTATTGTATTCTTATTGTGTGTGCAGTTTTTGTATTTTTTTCTCAGAAATGGGATATTTTCCCGCGGTAAAAAGTATCCTATATGTTAACCCGGATAACCAGCTATCATCATACCAAATTTCATCAAAATCTGTCCAGTGGTTTTCTCGTGATGCAGTAACAGACAGACAGACAAAAATTCTAAAAACTAAAGATTCGGCCTCTGTATCGATAATAATGTCTATTTCAATAAGATTTTGTAAAAAATATTTAATGTACAGATTCGACTTAGTTACAATTTTATTACTATAGGTATGTATAGATCACTAGGTGTACCTATTACTAGTAAATGTCTAAAATGTAAATCTTACAATCTCATAAATTTGAAAAAAACGGAGTAAAATGATTTCGTCTTTTTTATTATTCTGTGTCTATTGTGTATATTCAAAGACTTAAAAGACTGAGGTTCGTTAACAGAGTATCCCTGAAATTACACATCTTACCACTAAGAAAAAAAAATTTAAATAATATTTTCGATTTTAATCTCGCGCAATGTCAAGAGTTAAATGGTCAAGATTTAAACTTGTATTCAGCCCATTTTAACGTCCCACTGCTGGGCACGGGCCTCCCTTCAATACGAGGGGGATCAGGACATAGTGCACCAAGCTGGCCAAGTGCGTAGTGAAACATCATAAGAGTTATTGTAAATGTTTTAATACTATTTATTTGACAAAATTTTACCTGTAATTCTTTTCCCTCACAGCAAGGAACAAGTGGTGGCAAAGATGGCAAATCTTCTTTATGCTTTTGATTGGCATTTAATTCCATTGCAACATTATCACCACTCGCTACCGGGTTCATCATAAACAGAGATGCGTCTGATGATCGTTTCTCCTTCACATCGAAGTTGTGTGATGATACATCTCGCATCTTCATATCCTTTACAGTTATCACGGGGGATTGTTCTTGTATTAGTTGCATTTTTATAGAAATTCTGTTTTCTTTTCACAAATTCTGTATGTTTTTTTTTGTTCTGGGAGTGTTCACATTTTTAACGGAAATTTTAACACTAAGGTGACATTTCCTTATTTAATTTTTACTTTTTTATTTTGACAGATAGACACTTTTATTTATAATTAATACATTCGTAGAGGTTTTGATTGATTTTAAAGTACGAGGAAAATAACTTTTTCGTCTTAGGTATGACTTCTAAAATGTTACATAAAACCCGATTTTTATTGCGACAATCAAGTGCATTAAACCTTTTACGAGCTCGACACTATATTAGTAACTGTTCCTAAAATCGTTACATGTAATAAGGCGTTCACATATAAGTGCATACATATGTGTATTACGTATGTAGTTAAGAGGCGGATATCGAATGCGGATCACGTAGCGATACTTCAGTCAAACCCTTAGGGTGAGAGTACCTTTGAAGCTGACAATGAGTGCCCATTCACAGTTTTTTCCTTGGCCGTGTCTATGCTACTTAAAGGAAACGTGTTGTTAAGTCGAAGTCATGTTAAGGTTTTCATAGAAACAATATATTGTACGGTTAAGCCGCTAGACTTATCCCACACTTTGCTCGGCTTCGTTCCTAAAGCCTAACAGTAGCCAAAATGTTACTCCAGGTCATAGACTACCTGTGTACTACATTTGAATATAATCCATTCACACTGCATGTGAAGGGCTAAGGAGTAACAAACATACATATTACACACACTCAATTTAGTAGTCTAATGGTCGAAGGTTCGATTTCTATCCTAGTAATTAGCACTGTATAGTTAAAACAAAACTAAGTATGTTAAAAATAATGAGTAATTAGAGTTTTTCTTTGACAAACGTAAAGCTTTAATATTTATTTTACCCATTCACAATAAGGTATTTTCTGGAAATTAATATTGTAAATTGAAGTATATTGTTGAGGATGATTTATCTTAATAAAGTGAAATAAAACAACGTCTTAAATTAAAAAAAAAAACTAATTGTATATTAAACAAAACAATTCACACATTTTCAAATGATCGTAAACAATACAATATAAAAACAATAATTAATAAAGAGATTTAACAAAACCCATAATTATTAATTACAAAAAATCTTCAATAATCAATTGTTCGAATATGGCAATTTTTAACTCTTTCACTTAACTCTCCTCAGCCTGCCGACACTTTACCGGGAACATAGAAGTCCTTTTGTTGTTCCGATGAAATGCTTAGTTTCTGAAACGTTAATAAAAAAAATTAAGACCTATTCATAATATTTTTATTTATCAGTACATTAAGTTTGTAACAGAACCTTTTTTATTTAAGTATCTTTAATTTTTGTAGTAAGAATTCCTTTTTAGACTTTATCGCAATATCTATGGTTGGTTTTGTACTGGGAAAACCCATGATCGAGCCCTTGCCAAGTACAGGGGACTGTCATACCTAATCACTAAAACCATCAGTAAAACCCCGCTACAACGGTGTACAATGACACTAATATACGAGTATTGAGTATATATTTATAAATTTATAACTGAAAGCGTGACTTTTAAATTATTAAGATAATGTCAAAAAATATATCAATAGTAATAAACTAAAATAATAATTGACTAAATTACGTACTGGTACATTTAATATATATATATATTAATGACCTTAAATTACAAAATATTTATAACAAAAAATATATAATGTAAAAATAAGCTATAAAAAGTGTAACTTATATAAATTATTATAAGATTGTGGATTATTCAATTAGTTTTCATTGAATTATAATTTTGGTTATTACTCACTCTCAAACATAGAGTAAGCAAAATGGAAAAGTAACTAACTGCCAACTTTCGCAGCACAGTTCGTGATACCCTAATTAATACGATAAAAATATGTAAATTTTTTATGTAGGCGTGTAGGTCTATATAAAAAAGTTAAATACTTATTATATTACCTAATGATAAGTATTTTTTTTAAATTAAACATTAAATTCAATGTAATTTAATGACATTTTTCATGTTGTGCAGAAATTTTTTAATAGGTATTATTAATAAGATAAAATAGCCTTTGATTACATGTATATGATCAAAGATAATAAAATATGATTGGCTAAGATATATATATATATATATATATATATATATATATGTTAGAGAATAATTAATAAAAAAATACTTGTGTTGCCATGTTTGATATTTTATACACGATTCTGAGGGTAGTTGAATGACGGTACATGACAATAGCGTTTGACAGCTAATAATTTATGACGTGAGTCAGTAGTGCGAGTGAACTCACTTTATTGTGAACACTCGACTGTGCCGTACGAGCACACTGACCATGGCGGACGAGAATCGCGATAACGTAATATCAAATCCATCGGCATCCGTAACAGCAGCGGTGGGATCCGCCTGTGATTCTCATCATGGGTCTCCCATCCTCGGAGGGACTCAGGACCGACCGTATTTCCGTGATACCTACAATGGACAAGACACTGAGGTTCCCCAACCGCCAACTCATCAACCGTTAACCTCAAATACCAACATGTGGGCTGAATTCTTCCAAACGATGTTAAACAACTTTAAACACAAAGAAGCTCAACCATCTACATCCCGAGTGAAGAAATTGAAGCCCACTGAGATCTTCCTTCCGCCGTACGATCCTGACGAGAGCGAGTTTACAGCCCAACAATGGTGTGAAGAAATCGATAATCATAGAAGACAGAATACCTGGACGGATTATGAAACAAAGAATGCTGCCTTCATCAATCTACGCGGGCGAGCTAAGAAGTGGGCATCACAATCATATCAAGTGTGCAAGACCTGGGACGATGTCAAGGAGCGTCTCTCTCGACAGTTCGCGTCAACGAAGAGGTTCCACGACCTGTTCCGGGACATGGTGGAGTTCACGAGCGAGAAAGCTGCTACTTACATCGAGTACTCTACTCACAAGCTGGCTATGATCGACCGCCTTGAGACGGGATGGAGTGAAGCAAACAAAATCGAGGTACTTATATCCGGTATAAGTGATGTTCAGGTACGTTCAGATTTATTAAAAAATACACCTTTAGATTTTGTTGCACTTGACAGGCATTTGTGTACCTACCCTCGCGTTAAGAATTTAAAACGATCTTTTGAGTCGCGGGTAGATAATACATGTAAACGTCGAAAAGTAAATGATACGAGTAATAAATCTATGAATTCTAACGATCGCGTATGCTATAATTGTGGTAAATATGGTCATTTGAGGCGTAACTGTAACACTAACAAAATAAATCAAAATCCGATTAAAGATAATAACAATTTGCCAAAAATACCTCAGTCAATGTCAGATAAAATCATTCGCTGTAATCATTGTAATAAAATAGGCCATAGTGATCGTACATGTTTTATTAAACAAAAAGAGGATAAAACTAAAGGTTCTAAAATAGATTCAGATTGCACGAAATCCGTTAATGTTTGTTCTTCCTCCGATATATCATTAATTGAATTAAAAATTAACGATTATTTGTTTCATGCTTTAGTTGATAGTGGGTCTGAGTGTTCATTATTACGTGAAAACATAGCTCGTCATTTGATAGGAACACGTGAATTTGTCTTTACGAAATTAACCGGTATAGGCTCGCAACCGTCATATTCTTTTACTAAGCTAACTGTTTTTATTAATTTGTGCGATATTCACGTTGAAACAAGTTTCATCATTGTAGACTCTGACACCATTCCGTACGACGTCATATTGGGTCGTGATATCTTTAAAATACCCGGTCTAGAATTAATTATGAACAGTGAGGGGGTTCGTCTATCTCGTAAATGTAATATAGCCGTCTGTTCTGTCATTGAATCGAATAATGAAAATAAAATAGATACTGATTTAAGTGATTCTATACATATAAAGCAATTAAACTCGATTATTGAAAAATTTAGAAGTAGCTTTGTTACCGGTAACGCTAATACTACGGTTAAAACGGGCGAAATGGTAATTAAACTTAAAAATCCTGATAAGATAGTACAACGACATCCATATCGGTTGGCAACGTCAGAGCGCACTGCAATGAGAGAAATTATAGGGGATCTCGAATCAAAGGGTATTATTAGAGAAAGCTCATCTCCTTTTTCGAGTCCGGCTTTGCTCGTGAAAAAGAAGGACGGCTCAGACCGCCTTTGCATTGATTATAGGGAACTTAATTCGAACACTATACGCGATAATTATCCCCTTCCACTTATAGAAGAACAAATAGATTCGTTAGGTCAAGCTAGGTTCTATACTTCTCTCGATATGGCCTCTGGGTTTTATCAGATACCTATGTCTGCTGCATCTAATTCCATAGAGAAAACGGCTTTCATAACCCCTGACGGTGTATGGGAATTTTTAAAAATGCCCTTTGGTCTGTGCAATGCACCGTCTGTATACCAAAGAGCCATAAATAAAGCTTTAGGCAGTCTTAAAGATAAAATAGCCTTGGTCTACATGGACGATGTATTGATAGCGTCCTTAACGATTGAAGAGTCCTTTAAAAATTTAGAATCTGTTTTACAAGCGTTGACGGACGCCGGTTTTTCGTTAAACTGGAAAAAATGTAAATTTTTGAAAAAATCCATTGAGTATCTAGGGTACGTTGTCTGTAATGGTACTATTAAACCTAATCCAAAAAAGATTGATGCTCTTGTTAATGCACCGCTTCCTAGGAATATAAAAGAATTACGCCAATTTAACGGACTCGCGGGGTACTTTAGAAAATTTATCCCTAACTTTTCATCAATAATGACCCCATTGTATCACTTGACTAGAAAAGATTGTAAATGGGAATGGACCGACAGACATACCGCAGCACATAAGTCGATCATTGAATACCTTACTTCTGCACCTGTACTTACAATATTTGATCCTAGTAGGGATATCGAGCTTCACACCGACGCCAGCTCGATCGGCTATGGCGCGATACTGTTTCAGAAGTACGATACACAACTTAGAGTCGTAGGATACTATAGTCAAAGGACTACCGAGGTAGAATCTAGATACCATAGTTACGAATTGGAAACTTTGGCTGTTTTTAAAGCTTTTAAACATTTTCGTCACTATCTTCTAGGTAGAAATTTTAAAGTAGTCACTGATTGTAATAGTCTTAAAGCATCTCGACATAAGCGGGATTTATCGACACGCGTACATAGGTGGTGGGCATTCATGCAATCTTTTGATTTCGAGATTGAATACCGTAAGGGTGAAAGAATACCCCATGTCGATTATCTTAGTAGGAATCCGCCTAGTATTAAAGAAGTAAATGTTGTACGAATTAATAATGACTGGCTTGTATCCGAGCAATATTTAGACCCTGACATTCGTAAAATAATAGAATCGATCGAAAACGATACCATTGACCCTAACTTAAAGTCTTCTTACACAATAAAGAATAATGTATTGCATAAAAATTTTCAAGTTGATAAAAAATCATTTTCTCGTGCTATTGTCCCTAAAAATTTTCGTTGGCAGATTATACATAGATTTCACGAAGATCTTAAGCACTTAGGGTGGGAAAAAACCCTAACTAAATTGAGAGAACACTTTTGGTTTCCTAATATGACTTCATGTGTACGAACATTTGTAGACAGATGCCTAACTTGTAAAATTAATAAAGTGCCTAGTGGTAAAAAACAATCAGAATTACACCCAATAGAAAAGATTGCCGAACCTTTTCACACTATACATGTTGATACGACGGGTAAATTAACAGGTAGTCGCGAAGCTAAAGAATACGTTATAGTAATAGTAGACTCTTTTACAAAATATTGTTATTTAACCGCTGTCAAAGATTTGACATCTAGGGCAGCATGTAATGCACTTAAATCTTTTGTTTCACTATTTGGTTCGCCTAAGCGAATTATATCTGATCAGGGTACGTCGTTTACCGGAAAAGAGTTTCAAGATTTATGTGAAGAATGGTCGATCGAGTTCCATGAGATAGCTAGTGGCACTAGTCGTGCCAACGGCCAAGTGGAGCGTTTTATGTCCGTTATTACTAATTGTTTCACTATAGCTGAAAATTCGGAACGTAAATCTTGGAAATCTGTTTTAGGTGAAATACAACTTGCAATAAATTGTACGGTATCTAAAAGCACTGGTATGAGTCCTCTTCAAATGTTAATAGGTTATAATAAAAGCCCCCCGCGCATAAACTCATTAATTCAAGAATATGATAAGTTAGATCTGTTAGAGATAAGAAGTAATGCAAAAAGCAGGATGGACGAACAGGCGTTAATAAATAAAAAGCGTTTCGATCAAAATAAATCTAAAATTCAAGCTTTTAATGTTGGAGATTTAGTTCTTGTCGAGAAAAATCCACGAATAATTAAAAAACTAAGTGCTAAATTTTCAAATCCGTGTAAAGTTATAGAAGTGTGTGCTAATGATAGGTATAAAGTTGAGCCATTGGTAGGCGGGCGGGTTCAGTATGTTTGTCATGAAAAGCTACGTAAATATCCCGCTTGCCTCCCTGAAGTATCTGACGAACTAGATTGAAGTGTTACTTACATGAAAAATAAGTTTATTGTTTAAATGAAATTTATACCATGATTAATAAAATGATTAAAACTATTTATTGTGTGAAATATTTGTTAGTATGTTTAACTTTAAGCCGCTAATTATTTATTTATTGTATCATGAATTAGTCACAATTGTACTTTGTTTTGTTTCTTAAATCTATTTATAATCAATGCAATAATATTGTTCGTAAAATATTTTTGTTAAATTTTAAGTTATAATTTATAAGGAAATGTTACCATTGAAATCCACGTTGATTCCATTATGTTAAATTGATATTTTTTAGTTATGAGGTAAGAAATTATTGTAGTGTTATATACTTAGTTATATTTTGATAGTTAATTTTTCAAGTTTATAATCAATATAGTGCTCTTAAGTAAATCAAGTTATATGAGTTTCTGTTCATAAAACGTTGGAAGGCTATGACGCTTCACGTTAACATTTTAATGCGTTGGAACGCTGTGACGCTTCGCGCAGGGTTTTGAGAGCGTTGGAATGCTGTAACGCTTCACGCTAATGTTTTAAGAGCGTTGGAAGACCGTGACGCTTCACGCTGAGGTTCTAAAGACGTTGGAATGCTGTGACGCTTCACGCTGAAGTTTCAAGGGCGTTGGAAGGCTGGAACGCTTCACGCTGGTGGTACTCGAGAGATATTCGAGGCCTATAGTTTTTGATAAGATTTTATACAGTGATATAACATTTTGAGTTTATACATTGTTGCTATTGTCGTATCTTTAACTCTCGTTATTGGTTCATTAAAATAATAATTATGGAGCCGCGAGAGCGCGCCTCCTGTCAGTATGGCCGTGTTAGAGAATAATTAATAAAAAAATACTTGTGTTGCCATGTTTGATATTTTATACACGATTCTGAGGGTAGTTGAATGACGGTACATGACAATAGCGTTTGACAGCTAATAATTTATGACGTGAGTCAGTAGTGCGAGTGAACTCACTTTATTGTGAACACTCGACTGTGCCGTACGAGCACACTGACCATGGCGGACGAGAATCGCGATAACGTAATATCAAATCCATCGGCATCCGTAACATATATATTTTCAACTCAGTCTATTTCAACATAGAAACTCAAATTGAGTAGAGAATTGTGAAATCATTGAACGATTTTATTAAAAAAAGACAATAATAACAAACGGAACCCCGATAATTTCATATGTCCGTCTGTACTTTTTCTTTAACTATTATCAATCTGTGGTACTGATGTGTGGTAGGGATGTGAACCGCTAGACTATGCTAAATGAAATTAAACAATAAAAAAAATGGCATTCTAGTCATGTAATTGTGGGGTGAAAAAATATTTAAAGGGAAGTTCACATGAGCGTGTAGATCTTTAAGAATGAATGAAATGATAATAAGTAAAGTTTACATTATTTATTAATATAGAATAACAGTTATTCGTTTTTAAAAAAATCGATATTCAATCTTTCTATTTCTGTTGCTAAACAAACTTACCCTCTGTTTCTGTTGACGCATTTCAATGAGCAACAATCGTAGTATGCGGTGGGCGAGGAATTCACTGGTACGCCGTACATCCGCGCATTCGACGTGCACTCTGTTATCTACCACCGCGCCCGCTAACCCTTCCACCGCTTCACCCCATTCCACTACAAACACATTTATTTCATACTAGCATTGCTCGCGGCTCCACCCACGTTCAGATGACCAAAAACCAAGTTCTTAGGTTTTACATATTAGTATACTCTTACATTGCAGTATTTGTCATTTTTGCTCAAATAGTATCCTATATGTTGACCCGGATAACCAGCTATCGTCATACCAAATTATATCAAAATCCGTCCAGTGGATTTTCCGTAACAGACAGACAGACAAAAATTCTAAAAACTGTCTAATAATGTCTATTTCAATAAGATTTTCCAAAAAAAAAATTAATGTACAGATTCGGCTTAGCTACAATTTTATTATATGTAAAGATAGATGTAACTACTCCCTGTGGCATGTGTACGTAACTACGTATGATGTAGATAATAACTACCAAACATGTCCTCGACTTTATATGTATGAATAGAAGGGAAAGTTCAAATTGTACATGCAACTTTCAAGTATACTTACATAGCTAATTAAAATGTAACTTGGCGTTGTTTTTTTTTTGTTTTAATTCAGAGCAGTGCACGATCAAAAAGTCTCATTGAAATCGGTCTAATTGTATTTTGAGTAATGGGTGGTAAATAAAAAGAGAATTAAAAAAAATCTATCAGTTTAGCCTGTAATAAGTATCTATTTATTTAGCCTATGCTAAATTGGCAGATTTTTTAATTTTTTCAGTAACTTAAGAGATATTTAAAGTTTTAATGAAGAATATTCTACAAAAAACCTTTATATGTTAGCATTAAAAATTTAATGCTAAATATTTATAAGTAAACAAATAAACTTGAACTTGGTGTAAACTTGGTGTACTTATTTACAAAAGTACAATAGCGGAAGTGGGTTTGATTTCCGACGTAGCATATTTGTATGAGCCATAACTTTGCTTGGTAGTGCACAGCATGCTTAGACACGTGTATAAATACTAAATAGACTACTACTACGCAGCTCAAATGAAGATAAACAGTACTGGTTTGCCTACTGACTTTTGTTTCCCTAAACCTTTCATCATTATATCAATATAATTTATACTTGTTGGTGCATCTGTTAGTAATTGTCACTTCTGAATAACTAGACAGAATAAGGTAATAGGTACCTATTCATATTTTATCCGATCTTAGTGATTCAGCAGTCATAACTTGACAAATCACCAATTTTATAACTTATATTCTATTTCAAATCTCTATATCTCTATGGACCAAAATGACTCCTTCAGAATATTATAATCTTTTGTTTTAGTGTCATAAAAAGTACCTATTCTCGATATTAGACAAAACAGATATAATAAAAAAAAGGTTTAGCATAATTGAAATGCATTTGAAATGTTAAAATTATTAGATACTTTTCTATAAATAAATGAATACTAACTTGAATGCCTCATATGTGGTAGAGTTACCGTCCCCACAATCGGATCCATACCCTTTTGCACTCGCTGGCTTACTGAACGAGACATCAATTTTGCTGCGACATTAATCATCTAAAGACAGTTCGAATATGAATATTATCAGATAGCTATTATAATACATATTTTAATGATAGGTTAATAAGATAAAGTGCAGGGCCGACGACTTTACGTGCTTCTCCGAGGCATGAGGGTGGAACACCACTAACTTCCAAACTCCGGGCTTTAATTGGGAATTCCTTCTAAACGTTGATCCCATGATCTCAGGGTCTGCACCTTACTCTATATATTAGCTATTAGATTATCGAGGTAGTTACAATTGATCAGTAAAACTAGAGAAAAGGTTTATGACAAACGAAAGAAATAATACATGGCAATCATTGTGCGTGGCACTTATTTCATCTGGGAATCCTGTCAAGGGGCTATGAATAATGATATACATTGTCTAGTGTACCAATTACGTTATCAGCTTATAGTTTTCTACATATTTTTATTTTAAAACACTTAACTTCAATTAAGAATGATTTAAAATCTCTAACGAAATAACTTGTAGCGCTACGGTAATTGTACGTTTCATTCTTCCCATATCACATAGTGTTGAGGTAAAAATGGAAGCAAGAGAAACTATAATAGGCTATCAAAGCTGCAATCTTTAACAGTGACCCGCTATTAGTGCATCTAGTACTACAAAATATTATTTCTAACTATATTTAAATGGTAATTATCAAGTATATAAATTTAAAAGTAAAGCCTGATCTAATGTTACATGAATTTAATAATATTAAAATAAGTAATTGAAAGTTATAAACTACGTAATTCATTCTAAAGAGAATAGTAAAACTAGCATCAAACTATTAACTCCCAGTAAAGTGGCCCCATTCCGAAATAGCAACAAATAAATTATTTAAAACTAACTTCATGAATGTCAGAGATAAAATGATGGAAGGGAAACAAAAGATCGCTAAGAATAATGAAATAACGTATACTTGTCTGCTTAAAATTCCATACAAGTAAAATACCTCGAGCAATTTTCTTCTCTCAGGCAAATAAGTTCCCACAGAGACGGGATCAGGTAAATCCTCAACACGATCGGAGAAAGTCACTTCTGCTAATTTCGTCTTCGAGGGCTAGACGACGAAACATGTATAATTTAATATATTATGTCAGCAAACTAACTTTCAGACCTAAGCGCTGTTGCATATTGCGTAATTAGAACAAGTACGAAAATGTCAAGATAAATAATTTTCTTAAGCGTTCGCGCATCGTAGTTATTTATCCACGACGCTATACGGTGAACTCCAATAAACCTATCCATCTATAGTTATCCTATTATATAGGTAATATTGATCTGTTATGCTAAATCTCTATCTCCAGTAAAGACTAACACTTAGATAGGTTATGGGTATACGCCACTGGTGATGATTGACAAGTATATACATAATTTAACTATTACTTATAAATATTGTTTTAAAAAGAAAATATTACACGCTATAAAATAATATATAATATTAACACAAAAATATTATAAATGCGTTATGCGAAAGTAACTTTGCTGCCTATCTGATTATTTTTTACGATTAGTCGGTTGATTCGATTTTGATGATGTTTGTATTCAGCTCTTATAAACAACCCACTACTGGGCCTCGCTTCAATTGGGGGGTATCCGGCCATAGTTCATCACGCTGGCCAAGCGCTGATTGGCGGACTTCACATGTCGTTCAAAAACTTGCTAGGTTTTCTCAGATATGTAAGTTTCCTCACGATATTTTCTTTCACTGGTATTCGGTTTACAGAATACCCGCTATTTGAACCCGCTTCACTTGCTTTGCCAAGCGAGCTCGTTACCACTGGGCTACCACTGCCTTCTAACCCATTTAATGTTAAGAAATTACCTATCCGTAATACTACGAATAATAACAATAGATTTTTCTACTTCGTACTCATTTATCACGCCCTGATAGAATACAATTCTAATATAAGTGTATTTATACGTTCTGTTGTTGCCTTTATTCTTTACGTTCTTTGTGACATGTAATTTATTTATTGCACGTCGGAAATTTGCCGGTCTACGTAACTTTCTTGAATAAAGCGCTGCAGTGTTTATTCGTAGCTGCTATAAATGCATGAATTTTTATTGTATCTAATAATATTAAATGAGCAATTCATATAATAAAATTCTAACTAAGCCGAATCTGTACATTAAATATTTTTCGAAAAATCTTATTGAAATAGACATTATTGTCGATACAGCGGCCGAATTTATAGTTTTTAGAATTTTTGTATGTCTGTCTGTCTGTTACCGCATCACAGAAAAACAACTGGAGGGATTTTGATGAAATTTGGTATGGTGATAGCTGGTTATCCGGGTCAACATATAGGATACTTTTTACCGCGGGAAAATACCTCATTTTTGAGAAAAAATACAAAAATATAAGAGTATACTAATATGTAAGACCTAAGAATTTGGTTTTTGGAAATTTTAACGCGGGCGGGGCCGCGGGCAATGCTAGTATGTATATAAATTTATTTCGTTTATCTCGGAAACGGCTCTAACTAGATGGATCTAATTTTGTATTTAGATAAGGTTTTTTTTTATTTATATGGTGACTTTTCAGGAAAAGCGGAACATTTATATCTTTTCTGAAAAACGCCGAAGTTCTGTTCCGGGTACCTACTAGCATTAAAAAGGAAAATTGTATCTAACAATAATAATAGTGTAATTATTATACACTCCTATCTATAAATCTATATACAGATAAATAAAATTGAAGTGTCTCTTTGTAATATAAAAATTACAGTATGAAAATATATAGACCATATACGGTACCTACTTATAAAAAAAATGTATAAAATTTTTGTCTGTTTGTTTGTTGCGGCTAATCTCCAAAACGGCTGTACCGATTTTGATAGAACTTTCACTGGCAGATATCTGATATTATAAGTAACTTAAGCTACTTTTGTTTTAGAAAAAGAATCAAGGCTCCGCGCAAAAAGGCAAAATTTGAGACAATTCTTCTGTACAAATAGGTACATTTTGTATTCCTAAAGGATTGTAAAATAAATGGAAGTGACAAATATTAAGTATGTATACAAAACACTCCTAGATGTAAAACTTGCTTGTTACCATATCATAAACATGCTTAAGTACCATCTATATCTATACATATAATAAAATTGTAGGTGATCGCTGTCTGCACATGGAAGATATTTGAGAAAAACTATTATTGGTTATCTTTGTTAACGCAATAGAACCCAAAACAATGATTTTTAGAATTTTTGTCTGTTTGTCTGTGCGATAAGAACAGAAATAAAAAAGTTATGTCAATTTATAGAATCACCTAGGGATAAACCCGAACAAAGCTAGAGTGAATCGCTAGTTTTTAAATAAAATATCTCACGTAAAATCTTGACCTAGTTAAAATTTAATTACATCTATAGATTAAACGCTAAGAATAAATTTATTCATGCTTTTCAAAGTTACTTGCAACAAAGCCAATATTATTCTATCTATGAGATATATTTTGCTTTAATGAATAAAATAGTGGTTTAATTAACAAAGTTTCAATCTTTATTCATGAGTACTGAGAATTAAGTTTAATATTTTGGTACCGACCACCACACAATATATAGGTACATATTTCACAATATAAATATTTAGATTATACAAAAAAAGAATTTCCATAAAACTATCTTCCCACTTCACAAAAGTGCACTCAATAATGATTTCATGACATAGAAATTAGTTTGTATCAAAATCGATGTCATACTTTTCGTACAAGAACTACCTATCTAGTCTTTATTTTTAATCTTTGGCAAAAAAAGTACACTTAATGATGATTTGACAAAAAGTAAAATTTATACTAATTTATAGAAAAATCAAAGTAATAGGGATTAAATAATAAATACTTTATCGATAATAAAGCTATTATAAAAAGAAATGTTCAAAAATATGTTTAACTAGCGGCTCACGCTCATATCTAGAAAGCAAGAAAGCTAGAAAAACAAAAAACATCTATTCCAGGAACCGTACATTTTTTCGGGATAAAAAGCAGCCTATGTGTTATTCTGATGTATGAGCTATATTATTGTAAAGTTTCATTAAAATCCATTCAGTAGTTATTGCGTGAAAGAGTAACAAACATCCATACATCTATACATGGAGACATCCATACATCTTCACAAACTTTCGCATTTATAATATTAATAGGATATCTTCCTCTACGATTTTTCTTTAAATAAGTGTGTCAGCCAAGTTCTCAAAGTAAACAATGTATAAACAAAGTTTAACATAGGTATTTAAGTCCTTGATGCTTCGATCGTTGATCAAAGCCTTGAAGCGTCTTTATCTGTACTTAAAATTGACGGATAAAAACTCGCCAAGTTGCATTATTGAGTAGCAAATGACATAACAGATTTTGTATTAAAATACCTTGTTTGTATCGACTTCAAACATCTTACAGCACTTAAGAGGTACAAAAGACAGCCAAACAGATAATGTATATTGATGAAACCCAAAAATAGTAAGAGCTTAGTTACCTACCTACATAATACTACAGGCTTGGGCGTTTGTTCTTTTCCTAAAAACTTGAGTTACGTATATGGTACTGCTTATGCTACAAATGCTACGGAATCGTTTCACACAATAACACATGAAAATGTACATACCTATATGTATATGTATATGTATATATATATATATATATATATAATAAAGCCGAAGAGTTTGTAATTTTGCTTGAACGCGCTAATCTTTGGAACTACTAATCGGATTTGAATAATCTTTCTCATTTGATAACTCAATTCTTGACGAAGGCTATAAGTTATCTAAAATCACGCCACGACGTTTAGAATTGAAACAGTTATACATAAATAGAATTACGTTTATGTTTTCTGTTCATCCATCAATTGTCCTTTATGAACTATGCGATATAAAACTTAGCTTATCCAAATTTAAACTTGCAAGGGGAGTCATATGAAAACACTAAAGCAAACATACCACAGGTGTTGGCGGACGGTCTTTCACGCTTTTCATGTCCATTTCCGTAGTTGTATCCGCTGCTATATTTTGTATGTCGCCAAAAGCTATGGAGGCGCCTCGCCCGTTCATGTGCTGGCGCGCCAACTCCGTCGCCACTTGGACAGACCACCTCGGTGCTTTGGATGCCCTAGTATTTGACATATTTAGATACTTAAATATGTGTATAATGAATTAATCTTTAAAATATTTAAAAAAATAAACACGTGTGTGTAAAGTAGGTATGTATATGAAGTTGAAAATTTATTTTGTGTGTGTGTGTGTGCATTATTTATATACACTTATAAGTAGGAGAAGCCAAGGCTAATATATAATCAAAATACTATGTAGTAACTTAATGCATAATATCTGATGAAAAGATGAAATAGAAATTTCCTTATTTATCTGCAAAGTTTTTACATGTGATAAGTTAAAGTATTGGTAGAACTGCAACTAAAATGAAAATAGAAATCGAACAATGATAGATGGCTTTCTAATAATTTGTGATTTCACTTTAATAATTATTAAAATAGTACTTCTACTAGTCTTCAAGTACCTAAATGTAAGCTTCTTTAAAATATTATCAAAACTTCCAAATATTATTATTATTACAGTTTGATAATGTTCCTATTATATGGCTAAATAAAATATAATTAAAATTAAAAAAAAATACAATACCGTTTCCTCCCCACAGTGCTAGGACGAAAGTTTTGGAAGAACACGAGTGCCGCTCTTGATCGAACCAACCGCTGGATATCACGTAGCAGATGGTCCACACGTCGTCTAGCGAACTCCATCACAGCAGTTTCCAACATCTAAAATAAAATAATAAATCAAGTTACATAAATCCAGATAAAAATTCTTCGAAGTAAAATTGCTGACCTTGTTTAGATTCTTAAACCATTTTTATTATTATTTTTTCGTTAGTTAGTGCTAGCCTGTAAATACGGCTGAAGAGCGTGAGTTTTCAGGCGACAAAAAAAAATATTGTTAGGTTTTTCTGTTAAGAAATTTTTTGTTCAAACTCCGAATTAGAAGTTATCTTAATCCTCACCGCTAATGTTAAATTATTAATAATTAATAAACAGTAGGTAAATAAATATCTCTGCACATACTAACGCATAGATACTAGTCTGGTAGAGATTGGCTTGGCCGTCAGGTCAAATGACATTATTATTTTACCTATACTTTTTAGAAGTTTTGTCTGTCTGTCTGTCTGTTACCGCATCACAGAAAAACCACTGGACGGAGTTTGATGAAGTTTTGTATGGTCGTAGCTGGTTACCCGGGTCAACATATAGGATACTTTTTACCACGGGAAAATATCTCATTTCTGAGAAAAAATCCAAAAATTGCATTGTAAGAGTATGTAAAACCTAAGAATTTGTTTTTTGGTCATCTGAACGCGGGCGGAGCCGCGGGCAATGCTAGTTTATTTATAAAGCTTCACTGCCTTAATTAATGCAATTGGCGAACTTAATGAATTCTCTACAACGAAACCCAATGCACAAACGAGAAAAATTGGTCAGTGACCTGAATTCCAATAGGAAGAATATTATTATAAAAAAAAAACAAATAAGTTTAAACACTTAATAATAATTCAAATTATACCAGATTTGGAGCGGCTACTAACAGACATCCTTACTTGGTTTTGCCTGAGGCTTCGCTTGTATCATAGCGGGACGGGGATAAAAGGTAGCGTTATAAACTTGCTTTTAATCGAAATGTGTTACGTAATAATGTTTATGTACTGGATATAGCGACATAAGTAGGAAAAGTAAACGAAGAAAGAGACAGAATTGATTTCACATTTATAATATTACAAGCAGATCCCGCGGCTTCGTTCGCGCTAAAACAACAAAAAATCTTAAAAGTTAGTTTCGTACAAACTTTTACCCCATATTTTTCCCCCTTGTGGAATGAATTTATATAAATAAAATTTACTAAAATACGTATTTATCTAACTGTATTGAAGAGCATTAATACCAAGTTTCAAGTAATTTTGATGATTAATATTTTTTTTGGGTTGTATAATAACCTGTTTTCCTGTGGTAAAGAGATAATCTCCCGCAGTAAAAAGTAGCCTATGTCACTCTCCAACCCTCCAACTATCTCCACACAAAAAATCACCCCAATCCGTCACTCCGTTTCGACGTGAAAGAAGGACAAACAAACACACTTCAACATTATACAATATTAGTATGGATAGTAAGTATATTATATGGGTAAAGCATATTTAATGAAAATAGCCAATAGGAGTCGTGTTGTCACATAGCTGTTTATACGTTTTATAACTTACCTGATGCGAAAAAGACGCGAAGGCTTGTTAACTCCTGAATAACTCAGGTAATGAATATTTATTTCTTCGCAATGTAAAATGTACGACAATATAAAACAAGAAACTGGGTTTTATAATTTTCTTTAATGTTGATTAAGTGCTTTGTCATTCTTCATCAAGAATTAAAAGATTTTGTTCAAGTATTACTTAGAACTATGTCTCAAACTTTTTAATTTTTGATATTTTCTATTTATTATTTCAGTGATATATATGTTTCGTGAGATGTTTTTTAATATATTATTTCTGTTTAATAATTTTTAATAGTTTTAAATATTTGTATGAAGCTATTTTAATGATATTATAAGCATTTCTAATAGCTAATAGATATTTTCTTACATATTTATAGATTGGTGCTAACACTGCTAATAAATATTATAATTCTGCTAAATTATAAATGTGAAATGTTATTATTGTGCCTCTCTGTTAATTTGCAGTGATCCTACGGATTAGTCAATAGATCGACATACATACATACATATGTATATGGATGGCGACGAACAGGAGTTCGTACAAAGTATACAGGAAAATTCAAAAATAATAAAAACAAATCTATAGTTATAATGTGTATATTAAAAATGTTCATTTATATTAATTTACTTCTAATACTAAATTTTTGAGATTTTTTAATCCCCGGTGCAAAAACCATGGGGTGTTAAGTATAAGTTTGACGTATCTCTCTCTGTGTGTGTGTGTGTTTGTCTGTGGCATGCTAGCTTCTGAAAGACGATGGACGACGGATGAAACGATTATGAGTTTGTTTTTTTTTTGTTTGAAAGGTGAATTAGTTGGAAGTGTTTTTAGCTAAGTTTGATGAAAATCGATCGAAGATGGTCGGGGGTTTCTTGAATTTTTATTTTTTTATGTATATTATTTGTCATACATCTAATATTATTTACCTCATCCAGAATTTTAATTGGCGCAGTAGGTAGAACCGTTTCCATGTCCATTCGAGCCCGAGCCTGTCCTAGAGTCATGAGTGCATCTCCTTGAGTAGACACTGCTGATGTCATAGCTTCCACCGCTAAACGTTGTGCGAGTTCAGGGCTCATGCCCTTTGCGCCACGCTTTGACTAAAAAAGTTTAAATAAAATCATTATAATAATTGACTATTATTAAAATTACGAAAATTTGTATGTATTTGTTATAGCATGTACTGTAAAGCACTTAGGGACGAAACCGTGCGAAAGCAAGGATAAATCGGTAGTGTCATCATAATACTAGAATATATTAGTATCCGATGATGATTTATTTAATATACAGATGAAGACAGTTGTAATTCTAGAATCTCTATCGTTGTTAGAATACTAAAATATTATTAAAAATATTTAGTATATTATTTAATACACTTATGGAACATAATATATACATTGCATATTAAAGGACATAGGCAAAGGTGGATTTATCCCTAAAAGAGATTTCTTCCAGTCAACCCATAGATGTGAAAGGTAGTTAAGTAGCAGGTCCATTAAGTGCCAGACGACACATCAAAGAGAAAAAAAAACACATATATACGTACTTATTATAAAAATATTGTTACAGTTAACAATAGATTTCTTAGAAATTTAATTAATTTCTTAGAAATTTACCTGGAGGTGTTAAATAGATATACAAATAAAATATAAAAAATACCTACGCAAAAGTTGACTTATAAAGACAAGATGGACCATGCCCATATGTTTTAGTTTTCTATTGGCGACCATAATTATAATCTTATATACCATCTTGGTAGATAATATATTTAGAAAGCTCAGGTTTAAGATAAATTCGGAGGAAAGAATCGGTACAAGTTCCTGAGATTTGCTCCATAAGCAGGTAAAAACGACTAAAACATAAATAATAGTGTCAAATGTAAGATGAATAAGGTAAATATTTTTATATTTAGAATGTTCTCGTACAAGTACCTACGTATATTCTTATACCTTCTCAAATTCGTTCCCCATTTTGCGGACAAGCTGTGCTGCCTTCGCAGTACCTCCATGCATCAGTTTGAAATTAGCTAATCTAATTCGCTGTAGTTCCAAGTCAGTGTTGTATGCATAAATTTCCGCTTTCCTAAATATTTAGAACCATTAAACATATACGTGTTTATACTTTATAGTAATATTATTGTTTATATTTTACAAAACTACTACATAAAAGTTTGATTTCATTATTCCAAGAATAATCTGAACAAATAATTATTTCCGTTTTGTTATTGGCTTAAAAAAACTTGCTTCAATGTTTTATTATGTTATATGCTATAAACAAAACAGTTTTAGCGCTATGTTTACATCCGCGTTTTAATATTATTTTGCATATTTTACGACGCGTTATTTATTATATAAAAAACAACTGCACCCATTAAAGAATACTTTCGAGGTATTTTTTCGTTTTTAATATTTTCGACGTGTTCGACGACACGTTTGGCTCAGTTTGTAGTGACCCTAATTACTGTGCCAGCGTTCGCGGGTTCGAGTCCCGCTGTGGGCATTCATTTGTGTGATGAGCACGAATCTTTGTACTCCAGTCATGGGTGTTTATATTTATAATGTGTATGTATTTAAAGTTATATATATGTAGTGTATCAACCATCTGGTATCCATAACACAGGCCTTGTAGCTTACCATGGAACTAGATGGTGCTGTGTGTTAATGTCCCAACATATTTATTTATTTAATATTGACTAAGTCCAAGAAATCTAATAAAAAATGTACAAAAAATTACTTGGCTCTTCTGGTGGCGGCAGCATTCATATCATCCGTGTAAAGCTTAAGAAGAAGGGCCTCTTCTTGAATCTTTAGGTTTTGGGCATCAACACGAGCCTTCCATTTGTTATTAGCCTAAGTGCATAATGATATTAACTATAGAGTAAAACTTAGATATTTATCATTTTCACTAGTAATGCCCGCGGCTTCGCCCGCGTTCAGATGACCAAAAACCAAATTCTTAGGTTTTACGTATTAGTATACTCTTACAATGCAGTTTTTGTATTTTTTCTCAGAAATGAGATATTTTGCCGTGGTGAAAAGTATCCTATATGTTGACCCGGATAACCAGCTATTACCATACCAAATTTTATAAAAATCCTTTCAATAGTTTTCTGTGATGCGGTAACAGACAGACAGACAGACAGACAAAAATTCTAAAAACTATAGATTTGGCCTCTATATCGATAATAATGTTTATTTCAATAAGATTTTCCAAAAAATATTTAATGTACAGATTTGGCTTAGTTACAATTTTATTATATGTATAGATTTTATATTTTAATTACTTTTCAAAGTAATGTACAGATTTATATGTAAATAAGAATATTAAGAATTAATAATATTAATACATTAATCGGTTTTAGAGATTATCCCTCACTAATTTTCCTTATAAATGCATTTAATCTTCTTACGTAGATATTTGTATAAAAATATAAATTATTTCATATAACATTACCTAGTATGAAAGAAATTTAATACTGAAAATAGGAACGTGTATAATAAAGTTATAAGCGATATCAGAACCAACACGCTTCTCTGTTACTCACTCAACGCGTTCGTTGGTTCTGAAAATTGAACGGTGATGAAACTTTGCAGGAATTTAAGTACAGGACAATATTTTGACTTGAACTCACGTAGAAGCTACCACAAAATGCATAGATTGTTTAAATGCTGTGTATTTTTGATAATGTTAGTAAAATCAAAAGTGAAATACTTTGAATGATTAAAATTATTTATATTAATGATTTATGTATATTTGCAATTGTTTTTCATTAAAATTAATTATTATTCATGTTATACTTAGTTTTATAAAGAAAGCCAAGCAAGAGTTTTAGCATTGTGCCATTCTTTTAAAAGATTTATAGGTTCTATTATAATTAAGCCTTAGTATTGGCAACACAAATACCTATCTGTTTCTGTAACTAAATTGAAAAAAAATATAAAGCTATCTAGCATTTAACCCATTCATTTAGTTGATTTGACTCACTAAGTCAATCTTTTATAGGACGCAAGTTTTGTTTTCTCCATAAGGATATCTTATAAGTCAAATATATACCAAATACTCTACAATACCTCTTCTTCTAAACGTTTCTGTTTTGCTTCTCTTTCTTGCTTTAATCTGTTCAATCTTTTCCTTTCATTGCTACGCCATTGTCGCACCATTGTAATTTTACGTCGTAGTTCCATTTCAGCGGCAGCCTGCACTCTCTGCTTGATTCTATTTTCCTTCTCGTGAGCGCGAGCAGCTCTCTCTTTGCGCTGTTTCTCATTGAACTCTGCTAGATATTTCATTCTAGCTTGAATTTTTCTCTCTTGTTCTTTCGCTCTAGAATGTGGTAAAATACATTATGTATTTTGTATTCATGTGAGTTTAAATAGTTATTTGTACGGTAACTCCTGGAATGATTTAGATTTTTTATGAGACTAGGCTCTCACTAGAAAATTGAGATGTAAGTGATATAGTAGGTACTTATCTACTTCCTAAAGCCATCGGTCCTGCGCCTTAACTCTCACCGGTCGTGTCGAACAGTCGTCCCACCGTAGTATGAGAGTGATAGGAATAGAGAGTGCACTTGTGTCTGGGCGTACACTTGAGCACTATAATATCTCCTGCACAGTTGGCTAGTCTCAATGAGACTGGCCACCGTGGCCGGAATTGGTCAGGAGACATCATATATATATATATATTACTAACACGAGCACAGCCGTGGACAAATATTAGTTTTATATAATAGATTTAATATAGCTGAAACCTATATGAAAAAATCAACAATTTATGAAAAACCACAATTTCTTTGGTATAGAAAATCTTTTTTAAACAAAATAAAAAGATAGGATAAAAACTGAAACTCGACTATTCGAAATGTCTGTAAAGGGCGAGGCTGTAGAGATGTAACGCGTCACGTTGGCCTTTTAATTAAAACCCCAGTGCTCTGCCGCTTTCATAAACGTATGTTATTCACAGATGAAATTGTAATATAGTATGACCGAGAAATTTGCATGATCTCTTATTATTACAGTAAAATGAGATTATTTTACATGAAATATTCTAATGATATTTTAAAGGTGAAACTTTATTCCCCATACAAACTTTCATCCCCATTTTCACCCCCTTAAGGGATGATTTCCGGGATAAAAAGTATCCTATGTCTTTCCCAGGGTCTCCAACTATCTTCTTACCTTTCATCTAAATCGGTTCAGTAGATCCAAAGATTACCCCTAAAACGTCACAAACTCACAAACTTTACCTCTTTATAATATTTTAGTATACATAAAATAGTTGTATATGACAAGCTTGTAGTTCATAGAATTTCTTAATACTACGAGTACGTTAAAAACAATTTTTTTTAAGGTCGCTAACTGACTAATCGTGTAACAAAAAGTCGATTCGATCGATCATCATTTATTCGATCGAATTCGATTCGATTCTGCTAATTAATTTTAATTAAAATATTTTATTCGCATAAAGAGACACAGTGTTGACAAAATTTTTGATTGAGATTCCCTTTTAAACAAATAATTTTCGCCTATATTAAAAGACCCCAAGACAATTGTAAAAGCTTTCACTTTCTCTCGTTAATAATAATGATTAATATTTAGTTAATTAAATTCTTTTATTTTTGACTTGAATAAAGCTTACTATTCATAGCACTATAGATCTAGACATTTGTAGGCACCGTAACCAAGTTAGTTACTAAGTCACAGGAAGCTCAGTAACAATGCACAGAATACTGTATATCTTATAAATATTGAACACGCCAATCACCATGCGGTAATCAAAATCAACAATAACACGGTGTAATGGTAGCACTATCTAACACGAGTTAATCTATGCAACTGCCGACGGCGCTTGACGAATGACTCAGTTAAATGGGTTATGCAAATGGGAGCCAAGTTTACAAGTTTCATGAAAGCTTTAAAGCTAGATTGCGCTACACAAGTTGGGACAATCTAGATACATTTGAATATTAATTCTAAGCGAAAAATAAACAAACATTCAAATGGAACGGATTCCCCTCGGCTATATTTAAATTAAAGTGTTGTGACACTTGTTATTGCTTTTAGTGTTTGTTGAGTAAACTTTTGTTATTGTGATGGCAAGTTATCTTTTGTCGTTGGAGTATAATATATATTTTTTAAATATAGGTACAGTAAAATATGTCAAATACGACGTCATTTATAGAACAATTGTTCAAAATAAAAAAAAACCTGCCGTACTATTTGCTCTAAACTCGAAGGCTTTATTAATACCACCTCCTTCTTGGCTACTTAACTCCTCCTCTATATACAAAGTTTCAAAATGTTTGATTTCCAAGACTCGATGAAACAATAATTATTTTTGTTTTTGCATCCACAAAAACAATGAAAATGTAATATTATAGTAATAAAATATATGTATAAAAATCGATGAGTGTATGTGTGATGTTCCCTATGGGCTCCAAAACGGTTGGAGCGATTTTAATGAAATTTTTAGACAATCTTCAGATTAGCCTAGCGGGTGTTATGTTTGGTAGTAGGCGGATCAACAGAAAGGTTTAGCTATAGTCGTTTGAACCCGAGTGTAGCCGCGGGCAATGCTAATATTTCATACTATGAAAAGTCTAAAGTATTTACCAACAGAGTAGACGACCACAGCCACAAGTTATGACATATTGATGAGAGTTCCATGACTGTTTGTCGACAAAGTTTTGCTACGCCATGCTACGTATTTTATTATTGGTTTCGAATTTGTATACCACAGATTATACAAGTATTAACTATACATATAGAAATTGGTTTCTGTAAACTATTGCTTGACCATATTTATATTTTTGGATATGATTTAAAAAAAGTATGTAATTAAAGGAAATATTAATTAATCAGATTAATATTTATATACGTAAATGTGAAAGTTTGCGTGTGTATGATTTGTCACAAATAGATTATAACCTTAAGTGCAAGTAAATCGCTAGTATATTATAAAATAATTTACTTAGCACCAAATAAAAATAAATATAGTTAGTTACTTTATATACTGTGAAGGTGTCTTCGAGGATATAAATAAATGTCGCCATTCATGGTGCCGCTACCGGTTCGAAGGAAAAACTGGCTTCACGCCAGCACAATAGTAAGAAAAGAAAAAAGTAAGTTTTATTTCGATACCGTTTTATTAACAAATCGTGTTAAGTACTGAATTTATTTGTCAAATTATAGTTCCAATATTTTATTACAGGTTTTATCAGACGGCTTAAGTAGTTGATTTGTCAAGACTGCCGTTTATCATAATATTATCTTTATATATATAATTCTTCTGTGAGTGTGTATGTCACTGAACTTCTCTCAAACGACTGGACCCATTTTGATGAAATTTTTTGTGTGTGTTCAAGGGGATCTCGGAATGGTTTAGATTCACAATTTGAATAATAATTTTCATCAAAAAAATTATTAAAAAAAGTTTGAAATTTTCAAATTAAAGACGTGTAGACAGGACAACGTCTGTCGGGTCCGCTAGTAGTTTTTATACTACTGCTCTAGGTTATAAGAAAACGTACTAGCGAGTAAAAGTGCATTATGAAAATATGTAAATAAGTACAAGTTATTCATTTATTTTTCGTATTTTGAGGACTTATACTCGTATCAATGATGAAAATTCAATTCCATTCGCAACTAAAACTAAGTTAAACTCAATTTAATGACATAGGTATGTATTTTATATGGTAATATTTGACCAACACGTAAAAACCAAACGCAAAATTTGAAAAATCATTTAAACGTGCCTGGGCCAGTTAAGTTACATCACATACTAGTCAATATATTAAACATTATAATATTGTCATCGTACAGGTGCAAGAACATAGTATATATGAATCTCTTCCTCAAGAGTAAGTTGCGAGTGTTTCCTTAATCAGAGTGTACAAGTACATTAATATAGTCATTATATATAAAAATTCTACCTCGTGCAAAATCAAACCCAGAATCCAGTGTGGCAGATGCTCCTGATCACGACAAGGGTCGTACCAATAAAGTTCTATAAAAGTACTAGCGGCTCACCTTCGCTCCGCTCGGGTTTGCCCCTAGTTACGTTTTAACGTTTATTACAGATTTCTCAGAGATAAGATATTTTCCCGCAGGAAAAAGTATCCTATATGTGGACCCCAATAACCAGCTATCATCATACCCATCAAAATCTGTCCAGTGGTTTCCTCGTGATGCGTTTCCAGACAAACATTCTAAACTATACATAGATTCGGCATCTGTATCGATAATAAATAATAATAACTACCTACTTCAATAAGATCTTACAAAAACTATTTAATCTTAAAATTATATAACATAATATCTTAATAATATAATAATTACAATAAATTTCAATAACTCATATTTATAAGAAATAATATATATATATATATATATATATATATATATATATATATATATATATAATTATATATATAAATAATATTTGCTTTCAATTAAATCTCATTAAGATTTGGTTTGCTTTTGTGCAATTTATATACACATGACAATCATTTACGGAGCTCGACAGATGCTCTCCTTCTGATCAACCAAGTGCACTCAATTAAGCGACACAGGCGAACAGTAAATCTATTAAACTTAGTAGATGCCTATTTATTTGTACTCAAATGAATTAACATAAGCCGTGGTAGTCTCATCAAGTGCATACATACTTAAGACAAATTATTAAATTTAAATTAGGTAGTGATAACATAAAAATCTAAAGTCGTTAGATAAAAATATTGATGTTATTTTTATAATATAGGCAACTATTTTGATTCATCCTTTTCAATTTTATTTCCGCTTAGTTGATTTCAACACTATACTCACAATTCTATAATTCAACAAGGAAACGCCTCAGACACGGTCATTATGTATAACATTACCGTGCCTCAGATATCGAAGAATGGCAAAAAATTACAAAGGAAACATTTTTATGTAGAAAAAGAAATATTATATAAATTTTATTTTATACAAAAATTATTATAATTTATGTATAATATAACAGCATTACTTTTTTTTATCTTATATATAACTTAAATTAGAGCAAACTAGTATATTATATAAAACCATACTTAATTCTTAGCACTTAATAATAACGACATTAGTTATATTACCTATTTTACGCGGCGATCTGTTTTTATTTTTAACTAGCATTGCCCGCGGCTCCGCCCGCGTTCAGATGACCAAAAACCAAATTCTTAGGTTTTACATATCAGTATACTCTTACATTGCCGTTTTTGTATTTTTATTTTGAAATGAGATATTTTCCCGCGGTAAAATGTATCCTATATGTTGACCCAGATAACCAGCTATCACCATACCAAATTT